TAACTATGAGCAATATATTTTTACCTTTGTTAATAAAAATACAGGTAACGCTTCCTTTTACAGTACAGTGCTTACAGTGTACTTAGAGTGTATTTACCTAGAAAGTACTGGCTAATATAAGGTAAGTACACTTTAGATGCACAATTTCTAACACTTTAGAAATTGTGCATAAAGTTAGCAGTAAAATCATCGGGATTCAGCAGACAAAACTATCTGAACTATACAATAGACATGTACTTAAAAAGGCTGAATCTATCATGTCTGATAGTTCTCATCCCTTGTACGTAGAATTTAAGTTGCTGCCTTCTGGTTCTCGCTTTAGCCAGCCACCAGCCAAAACTAATAGATTTAAATTCTCCTTTGTTCCCTCTGCGATCTCTCTGCTTAACTCTGTAAAGAATAGGTAATGTCTGTCTGCACATTGACAATACTTGTATTTAAATGTTAAATGTTTTTAACTTTTTAATTTTTAACTGTTGTTGATGTTGTCGTGTAATGCATGTTAATTTATTTGGCTACTGTTGCAAAACTAATCGCCCCTCGGGGACAAATAAAGATCTTGAACTTGAACTTGAACTTGAAGTACATGGAACAGGGGTAGGTTCAGGGTTAGTACTAGTTATTACCCAGTAATTGTAGTTACTAAAATAAGTACATAATTTACATGGGTAACTGGACTGTAAAAGGAAGCGTTACCAAAATACAGTTGTTCATTATTCATATTAGGTAGCAGTGAATTATTTAATGTTAACAGATATAACTTTTTTTAATGATGTTATTAGGAAAAGGTAGAAATTAACATTTACTAAGATGTTTAAATGCTGCAGAAGTGATATAGTTAAATAATGTCAACAAATCAAACCTTATTATGAAGTGTTACTTATTTTTGTGTGGATTTTTTATTTTATTTATTTAAAAAAATTTGCATATATGCAAACAAGGCCAGAATAATTGAACAATATATATATATATATATATATATATATATATATAATATAAAAGTTTATTAAAAGTATATTTTGTCAATATATTCATTATCTTCATTCTTTATAAATATCTTTGTATCATATTGAGTTTCCAAATACTTTGGGGGTTTTATTTCTAACATGGGCACTTTTACTCCACTTATCATCATTAAAGTATGGTGAACAGAAAAAAATAGGAACGAAAATGATTGATTCGGTGTTTGCCGCTACAAAAGAAAAAACAAATCCACAATTCTAGGTTGCTTTAAGGTTTGGTTAAGATCCCCATAACTCCAGATCTGACTGCAGAACTCATTTTTTTTCCCACTGAATGACTTTTCAGTTATATGAATCATTTTTAAAACAACACAATATGTCAGAAAATCAGTGAATGCGCAGCATGTCCTTGCATGTGCCGGTCATGTGACCTGAGCCCCTATGCGGCTGCACTGCAGAAGGGTACAGGTAGGGGCGAGTGGAGTTAGCTGGGGTTAGTGCAACTCGACTCGCACGGCTCGCCCCATTTCACCCTCCTCCCATTAACACTTTTTTCTTTTATGCTTCAACCTCGTTCTTTCCTTTCCACCATGCTTTCCTTTCCTCGTCCTTTCAGCAAGTCAGAGAGAGTACAGTACATTTCTCGCACATGCTCAGTAGGGCTGTGTCACACCTTTCACAGAATGTTCTCACCCCACTCGCACACCCTTCTACATGCACAAACCCGCTTAAAACACACACACACATTGTGATACAATAACCACTTTCATTGCTTACATTCATAGTTGAATCTAACTTTCCTCCCATTTATAATTGTGCAAATATTACGTGTCAGTGACTCAATGTCTGGGAATAATAATGTACATGCATGCAGGGATATTTTTACTATTTTGAAAAAAACGATATTTATAAAAATGTTAACAGGCTGTAGAAGTTGGTTAGTGGAACATTGTCTGAATTTGTGGCAAAATAAATGAATAAATAATTTTATGAAAGAATTACTTATTGAGTAAAGTATTGTATGATTATTATATTGAATTGTAATAATTAATATAATAACCAACAATATTTTCTAATTATTAAAGTAAAAAAACTCAATAGGCTGACATGAAGTGACCATTGCGAAGAATTTTAATCTCCAATTTTCCTTTAAAAAGTGTAACATACAGTGCATTAAAAACTATGGCTTATCACTGTTTTGCCTTTTTATATTTTCTATAAAATTCTATTTTCAATGATTCAAACATTGAAAAAGGAATTAAATAATAATATAGGCAGCAACAGCTGCTAATGTAGGATTGGTCAGTAAAATTTGTAGTCGGGTTTAGCAAAGGTCAATTGAATTTTGAGATACTTTGTCACTTTCATTGGAGTTGCACAAATCAAATTAGCAGAAATGCAGTAGTAAATAAAGTCAGATAGTTTTGAGAAAGATATATTTGCTCAGTGTGATTTCACAGAGGCCAGCTTTTCTAATGTCTTAAACAGATGGTAGAAACTTCAGCTCACAGAATACCAGCCAGACACTCTTTGATTGGCCAGCTCACGGCCAAGGACGTGTGTGTTTTATTTATTTATTACATACTGCATAGATAGGAGAGCAAACTTACTTCACCGTTCTAGAATGTTCTGCTATCTGCTTTAGCCTCTAATTCTAGTGTATTGCTGACCGGTTCTAGAAAGTGAATTCAATCTGAATCATTTCCAATTATTGCCAGTAGTCTTAGGCATCCTCAAACGTTGTTTTGGAGTGTATACGTTAGCAGACTGCTAATGTGTCGTGTTGTTACGTAAATGTCATGATCAAATCAAGACTTGTTATAGAAAAGATCCTAGTTTATTTGTGTTGGGAAAAACTTGATTTATAGTATTTTCAGCCTGTGGAGATCTTCGCTTGTGACATCATTACAGTGACCAGGATGAATCGATCATGCCTGTCAACGTGTGATAGTGGAGGAAGACCAACCCACAGAGGGCTTAACATTTAGGGGGGGGGGGGTGTTTGTGTGTGTGATACTGTGGGGGACATCTGACTCCCTGCTATTTTTCCCTCGAATTAACTGACCTGACCTCTCGTCCACAATGTTTGTCTAACATGTCTGCCGCATACTATAGACTTGATCTAGCTCAGGGCTGTCCAATCCTGCTCCTGACGGGCAAACGTCCTGAGTTATGCATGTTAAAAGCAAAAACTTGTTTTTTAATGAAAAGAGATCTGTTGTAATGTTATTTTAGGAATTCATAAATTGACAATAAACATCAAAATCTTTTTGAGAAAATAAACCTTCAAATCTGCCTATTGAGTTTGTGGCGGAATGTGAAGGGTTAAATGAAAGATGCCCATTTATATATATATATATATATATATATATATAATTACCAAATATATATATAATTTCATCACTGTTTAATGTATCTAGAATCAAATAAATGCAGCCTTCATGAGCATAAGAGACTTTCAAAAACATGATAAAATCATATCGACCCCAAACTTTTGAATGCTAATCATTCCAATCATTCCATTTCCAGAAAGGTTTTAGCCCTGTGTGGTCGTCTAGATAGGATCCATCCACTGATCTGCATAATACACGACCGCATAACACTGTGTTAAGGTGCTGGTTGCTGAGATAATTGAACATTTAACTACAGAAATTGTCAAAAAGGCTTTATTTTGGTCACAGCAGACAGGCATGATGACAGCATCAGATAAGAGAAGGTTAATGACTGTCCTCATTGGACATGCTTTCGCCAACGCAGCCCAGAGACACACACACACTCTCGGGTCACGAAGGGTTACTGTAGATCCATAAACTCATCAGATGAATTTCTCTCGCACTGATGTGGCTAGTTAATCAATACTCCGCTGGTCAATTGAGTGACATTATGTCAGGGCCGATTCCACATGGGCTGAAAGCAGTTGCGAAGTTGCGTTCAGATGCATTAGCACAGGGCTTTCCCATGCACTCAATACTGTCAGCTGGAATGGGAACAGGGTGTTCCTTTTATCTACTAACCCTAACAGAGTGAACCAGAACAGGAGATGTCAGATGCATGCCATTTACTGTCTAGTGTTGAATGCAATGAATTTTCAAATGCAAATTTGCCCGATTTGTAAAACCAATTACTCACAGGCAGATTCAAGCATTTTTGTATTTTTGTATATATATATATATATATATATATATATATATATATACAAATGAATGGTAACACTTTACTTGAAGGGGTGTGCATAAGACTAACATGGCAATGACACGTTATTATTATGGTTTTATGGTTTTATGCATGTTTGTGACAACTGTCATTAAGTGTCATTCGCTCAGTTATGACATTTTTAATGCAAATATGACATTGTTTGAGATGTCTTTGTTATGATACCTTGACAAAACATTACTAAGACAACACAACCTGTTATAAACATGACATAGCAGATTAATTACCGAACTTAAGAAAGCACCTAGCTTTATTGGTTAGTTAGCATTACATTAAACTGTCATGTGGTTGGTTTTGACATTGTCTGTCATGAAGCCATTATAACTTTTTAACGACAAATTCAATGTGTACCACTGTAGTTGAGGTCACGACAAATATTCATCATGACACAGTTATAATGCCTCATGATGGCCAATGTCAAAGCCAACCACATGACAGTTTAACTTCATTTAATGTCAAGTTGTCATGACAAAGACAATGACAGGTTATGGTGTTATGGTTTATGTCAAGGTGTCATAACAAAGACATCTTTGTCATATTTGACTTTGTCAAACAATGTCATATTTGCATTCAAAATGTCATAACTGAGCAAATGACACTTAATGACAGTTGTCATAAACATGCATAAAACTTCCTTCATATTCAAGACATGTGTCTTGTCAGTCTTATGCACACCCCTTCAAGTAAAGTGTTACTAAATGAATTACTATTATGTTTTACAGATACAAATATAACCTAAAAAACATTAAAATCAGACTCAATCAAACACGAGGTTTAATATTTGTTATGTTTTTTTCTTCTCCTCACATTCTTCCTCTGTCTCAGGGTCGTTGTTCCAGAGAGAACTGTAAGTACCTGCACCCTCCTCCTCACCTGAAGACTCAGCTGGAGATAAACGGCCGTAACAATCTGATCCAGCAGAAGAACATGGCAATGCTCGCCCAGCAGATGCAGCTAGCCAATGCCATCATGCCTGGAAGTCAGCTTCAGCCAATGGTGAGGCTCCATTCTTTTTTTAACCTACTGTACCTCCTTAAAAAAGCAAGAGTGATTACTCCACACATAAATTGTTTGTTAAATGATTTGTATTATGATATATATATATATATATATATATATATATACATCATATATATATATATATATATATATATATATATATAATGGCTCCAAAAAGTAGAGACCTTTGGCTTTTGGAGTATAAAGGCCTATTCACACCAAGAACGATAACTATATTAGCTTCCACATCAGCCGACAATGTAATTCTATATATATATATATATATATAAGTGCAAGCTGTGCTTTTGTCATCTGCCACTTTAAATACTTCTTTAAATTCTTTAATTCTTTAAAGCTGGAAAGGATTTTAAAGGGTGGATTCTGATTGGCTGTTATTGTTTTTATCTTTCCTCAGCTGGAAAAAATAATAATTTTGAGAGTTATTCCAACAACATAATTTCTCTGTACTGTTATTGTTATAGTTGTGGTGTAAACTGCTATTCTATTATATTTAGAACGATTGTTTTTACTATATCTGTATCATTATCATTATAGTTAACATACTTGTTGTGAACAGCCTTAAGAAAGGTCCATTACATATGTAACTTGCTAAGATATTTAATATTTTATATAGAATTCATTACGTTATGTTGGATTTATTTATTGCATTTATCAAATACAATAAGGTGGGTTGGTATAAAATATGGGTAATATGTGTTTTTTTATATATATTTTTGTTATTAATTTAATGCATTGATATAATAAACTGCAATGAATTATATTGTTCTATTTATCCCGTGAAAAATGTGTTTTTTAAATATTGTTTATAATTTATTATATTAATGTAATAAATTATAATGACTTCTATTAAATTTGTCACGTGTATAGTGTGTTTTGGTTCTTTTTTCCCTGTTCCCATCTACCCGAGTTTGCCTGAAAAACAGGCTTTATAAAAGACTGTTTTTGTTCTCTACTCCTTTCGTCGTGCGTGTTACAACTACAACTACCATTCCTGACAATACTGTAGTATAATATATGGGTAATATGTTTTTTTTAAATATTATGAATATAATGTATTATAATTTATTAATGTAATAAATTATAATAATTTGTGTTATATTATATCAGATGTGTTTACTTACCGGTATGTCATAAATGCTTAACAAAAAAGAAAGAAAAAAATGCTTTTTTGGACAATGTCATAATGATAATTTGAATATGGTAAATAAATACTGCCACAGTCCTTTTTTGTAAGCATGGATAATAGTCAACTAATCATTATTTTTTTATTCTTGATTGTATAATTTACACAAGTCCCATAAAGTTTAATTTGTTGTTATTTATTGTCTGTTTCAGCCTATGTTTTCGGTCGCACCAAGCCTTGCAAATAACGCCAGTGCGGCTGCTGCAGCGGCTGCCGCGGCTGCGTTTAATCCGTACCTGGGCCCAGTGTCACCTGGGCTGATGTCGGCAGAGATCATGCCCAACACACAGATGCTGATGGCGGGCAACCCTGGAGTGGCATCCATGCCGTCCGCTGCCAACGCTGCAGCTGCTGCTGCTTCAGCTGTGGCTGCCCAGAAACTCCTCAGAACAGACCGCCTGGAGGTATGAGGTCATCAGAGAACGATGACATCAGAACACACTGTCATACGCAAACAGCAAATCTATATATTTTTCTTTCACACATACACCAGTGCCGGTTGCATAAACTGCTAAGACAGTATTTTTACAAGTTAGTCGTGTGTGTTTTTTTTCTTTTTTAAATCTTTTTTAAGTCTTTTTTTAAAACCAAAAGGAAGAATGATTACTAACTTCTTGTTCTCAATACTCAATACTCTTTTCATACTTTTTCAAGGAAAACAAACTTTGAAATATGTCATTTTGTTGATCAAAGATGAGTTTTAAAGGGATACTTCACCTCTGGAAAGATGAATGTGTATTTAAAATGGGTAATTTATGTTGAAGAAATGTGAAATTATTTTTGAATTTGGAGCTTTCTAGACTGAGAAAAGCCAGAAAATGTATTTTTTGCTTATTTGAATGAAAGACAACAACTCCCAGAATGCACTTACTTCGCTGCCCTAGGAGGCCACGCCTACCGGTAACAGAGCGCAGTAGTTAAACAAGTCTGCCCGAAAATGTGTTTCGAGATCTCCCAAAATGTCCCGGATTTGGCTGAAAGATGGCTGACACTATGTGTTCATTCTGTGAGTGAGATCCCACCCTATGGGAGGGTTGAAGACATGCGGGACAGCCCCTACTACTGACTTTTTTCTGGCCAAAAAATGACAATTGACTTACAATTGACAAAATGACTTACAGGCGACTTTAACATAATGGCTATGTTTATGCAACTTGGCCCATAGGTGTCCAATCCTGCTTCTGGAGGGCCACCTTCCTGCTGAGTTTATTTCTAACCCTAATTAAACACAATTGAACCAGCTAATTAAGCTCTTCAGGATCACTAAAAACCTTCAGATAGGTGTGTTGGAGATAAACTCTGCAGGAAAGTGGCCCTCTTGGAGCAAGATTGGACTCCCCTTGAATAGATGTTAAAACTCTGTAGGTTAGGTTACAGCCACAATTAAGAAATAAAGGAGCTGCTGCCCCCTGCTGGCCACTGGACGAAAAAACACATTTCCCCATCTGAGATACTGTCATACAAATAAATACATTCAGTACACAGTATATAGTGTATAACATAGTACTATATGCTGTGTTTAAGAAAAATATATATGTGCAACAGTATGTAGTATGCATCAGTAAATGTTTTAAAGGTATGGTTGGCAACTTTCAGTGAGGCTTGCAATAGCGGGCTAGCTTTGAAAGCATAAGATAAGATCACACACTCTGTCTAATAGGAGAGGGTGCTTTCAAAGCTAGCTTACTATTGCTAGCCTCTCTAATAATGACCTACCATACCTTTAAAAATATGTTTATTTAAAAGGTTCTGTCCTTGTTTTCCTGTCTTTCTGTTTTACTGTGTGTTGCCTGCATGGAGAAGACCAAATCAAATTCTTAGTATTTGTATAGATGGCGAATAAAGTTGAATTGAATTGAACTGAAACATTTACTGGTGCATGCTACATACTGTTACCGTCGCACATATATTTTTTCTAAAAACAAAACAGTAGGCGGCACCTCCAAAGCCACGCCTCCTTCAAAACACATGACCTTGCAATGCAGAGAGCAAAGCATCAGGAGAGACAGCATTAAACTACCTCATGTCTCAGTGTAATAATGAACATAAAATGAAAGAGCGCTGACCTGTCCCTCCAGCATACTTTGACAGGCAATTATTGGACGAATATTTTATGGTCCCATGTCTTCCACAGACGATATATATATAAATACATTTAGACCACGTGCTATCAGGATGTGAAGAGACTTTCAACCAGCATAATAACAAACGTTTCTGGAGCAAATCATCTACCCTGCCTTTACACAGTTTAAACTGGGAATAGTTTTTTATAGTTCATTGGGAATAACCTGCAGTTTAAACTGGGAATAGTTTTTTATAGTTTATTGGGAATAAACTATGGTTTAAACTGCACATTTTAGCAATATTGCAATTTAATACACTTTTATAGTAAATATCACAACTTTTAGCAAATAATAATGGATATTTCAAACAATAGCATTTCATTGTGGGGAAACGATATTCTGTACAATGTATTACATTAATCAAATAGGTAGTAAAAAGTGCGTATGGGGAAATATGGGTTAAGTGTATTAGTATGTGTCTTTTAATACTTAAAGGGTTTTTTTTTTTTTTTTTTTTTTGTGAATGATGTATGTCGTATGATGTATGTTGAAATGCCTACTTGATTGCTATGCAAACAAATTTCCTCACAGGGACAAATAAATGTACTTACTTACTTACGCATACAGAAAGTTCACATACTATGCACACACTGTATATTAGCAATAGTAGCATTCCATGTTGAACATTACAGGGTTTCTTTTACACGAACACAAAATATGAGATCTCTCAATATGCATATCATGTGTGTGTGTGTGTGTGTATTCTCAGGTGTGTCGTGAATACCAGCGTGGCAACTGCTCTCGTGGGGAGACGGACTGCAGGTTTGCCCACCCTTCCGACAGCACAATGATCGACCCCAGTGACAACACGGTGACGGTGTGTATGGATTACATAAAGGGCCGCTGCTCCAGAGACAAGTGCAAATACTTCCACCCTCCTGCACATCTGCAGGCCAAGATCAAAGCAGCGCAACACCAGGTCAATCAGGCCACGGCCGCCGCTGCCATGGTGAGCACGCTCTCTACTGCACAGCACACTTTACTGTATCCCATTCATCATACTGTATATACAATCAACACTTTCTCAGATGCCTTATCGTTAACTTAACGTTGACACTGTAAAAAACAAAAAATTGGGATTTACGAGCATTTTAGGAATGTTTCTTGTGCATTATATTTTTGACAGAGCTCTATACCTCAAGTCATTGCCATTCCCATTTAAACTGCATAAATACGTAATTTCCACATCCTGTCGAGCAGAGAGCGGTGCCATAATTCTTTTGATGTAATCATTTCTGCACATTAAATGTATGTTCGCAATCCAGCTCAATGTTACCCACGTGTATTGCACAACTGTTCAATTGTCGATGAAACCCTGTAAATGTTACGATAATTGATGTACCTGTTAATCTTAATCTAAAAACAGAATGGACTGTATTTCTGCATGCCTTAGTCCTGATATCCCCCTGTATACTGCATTCCAATGATTTGTTTTTATTTGTTTTTTTTTCTCACCTACCCAAAATGCACTGCTGCCCCCATGATGCACCTCTGCTTGCTGTTTATGTTAATGCGCTTGAACCCCATTGGCCCATTGCCATCATGTGCTCGCTGCCTGCTAATTAAGACTCAGTCGGCTGTCAAATCACTGAAGCGACCCCTCGAAGCCACCTTTGACCTGGTACTATGACCTTTCACCTTTTTGCTTGGCATGTTGCTTTATTGTAGTGTCTTAACCAGAACAAGGAAAGATAATTTGCAAGCATAGTCCTTTTGTTACATGTTTATTTAATGCCTCTGTTGTGTTCTGTGTTACCATGTCGTGTGATCAACTGACTGCGGCGAGCATGTGCTCGGCTTTAGCCGGAAACGAGATATGCGAGTCTGCCGCAATCAGATCATCACACGTGTGTGTGTGTGTGTGAGAGGACAGGGCCAGATGTTCTAGTCACATGGCTTCTATATGTCTATACAGCATTAAAGCTCAGTGTCTTGATAGGGTGCATGTTTAGTATCTCTGTATATATTGCATGTGTCTTTGGGAGGGGTAGCAGCAGAAGATTACTAAAGCTCCACCACCAAAGCAACAGAAAAGATCTAGTCTCTTTCTCACACTTATCATGGAGTGAGCAGTGCAGTTTATTTTTCTTTTTGTTTTTGTTTTTTGTTTTTCTTCTTTTTTTTCCGTCACTTTTGTCTGCAAAACATTTGAGTAGTGCTACGCTTGCTTCATTTGCATTGAGTTAGCCATGTGGATGTTGTAGTGTTAATGAATTAATATTCTCCTGACGTAAAACTAATAATGTTTATCACAGATGCTCAGAGCTAACTTAAGTAATAGCGAGAGAAACTGGCTCTTTGGCTTTTGCTTGTGCCGTAGACATGTATTAGCTGCCGCTTGCTTGCTTGTTTGTCAGAATCAAGCCCTGTGATGTGTTTGCCCTCTGATGATAATTCTGTCTTTTTCTTGTTCCTTTGCTTTTTTTTTACTCTCTTCTACACGTCCCAACCTGTTCCCCATTTCCTCCACTCCCCTTTCCCTGTGGTCTTATCGGAGCAGGGAATTCCTCACAGTGTCATGCCACCTTTACCAAAGCGGCCTGCGCTTGAGAAAGCCAACGGTGCCGCGGGCATGTTCAGTACTGGCATGCTCCAGTACCAGCAGGCTTTGGCCAACATGCAGTTTCAGCAGCAAGCCTTTATTCCGTCAGGTAGGACTTCCTGTCACCCTTGACCTCACCTTTGACCTTACTAAACCACGAGGGATGCATAAAGACATGGGATAACTTTTTTATTATTTTTTTTTTTTATACAGATACAGGGTTCCCACAGCCTTTTTCTTGCACTCTGGTGTAAAAACTAACATAGAATATTTGCATTTTATTTAATAACATACCACAGTAAAATATAATCAATATTTGATCATTAATAATAAAAATGTATAATAAATAGTATTGTCATATTTATGTCATATATTCTTAGGACAATATTTTAATGTAATATTTATTATAATAATATAACTATAATATAGTAAATAACAAAGTATATATATATATATATATATATATATATATGTAGTATAATTAGCTTCACAGTCCAGTTTAAGTAAGTTTAGTGATGTTTCATTTTTGTTTTAAAAAATTTATTCATTTAGTTTATTTATATAATATATTTATAGCCGCTCTGGAGTAAACCGTGATGTCATCGTCCAGCTCAGTTCAGTTCTTGCATAATACTGTCAATGCAGGCAGATCAATATTATTGTTGAATATTAAATTAAATGTTAAATGTATTGTCCCCAACTAAGCAAGCCAAGCCAATGGCAACATAGTGTAGACATTTGTATACACAGTCTATATACAAAATTTCCATTTATATATTCATATAATATTTGTATTATTGCAATTAATTATACCATACTATCATGTTATACTATATTTATAAAAAGTATACAATAAGTATACTATATATATATATATATATATATATATATATATATATAATCTAGGGCTGTGCAAAGATTAATTGCGATTAATCACATCCAAAATAAAAGTTTGTTTTTTGTATATATAAATGAAGAGTTCAGATGCAAAAGCCTCTAAGTGCCATTTGAAATTTTCTTCTAGAATGATCATTTTTATCAAGCTTGTATATTTAAGTTCAGTGATTTCACTTAAATGGCAATGATAATTACCTATTAATTGTTATTTAAGTGAAATTACTGAACTTAAATATAATTTAAGAAGAAAATTTCAAATGGCATTTAGAGGCTTTTGCATCTGAACTCTTCAAATACACACACATTCATTCATTCATTCATTCATTCATTTCATTTTATTTGGTTTATCATTAACAAATATACAGCAACAAATATTCAACTCATCATAAACATAACTTTTGATTAAACCAAAGGGTATAGGCTGAAGCTCAAGGCTTATTGACGCCTATCCCTCTCAATTTTTTACAACAGTCAAACAGTGCTCAGTTTTCTTCTTGCAACACTTGAAACAACAAAGTCATAGATTTTAATTACCCACACCTATCTATATGTAAATATCATCTTGTTTCTTAGGAGCCGTTTAAATCCACTTAATGTTTGTGTCAATTTTAGATCTGTATGCAAACAATTCCATAAATTCACTCCTCTTACAGAGATAGTTCTACATCTAGTATTTGTGCGTACCTTCAGTTTTTTAAACAAACATATTCCTTTCAACTCATACCTACAATAACGTTTCTCAAACATACTCAAAATTTTATCAGGCAGCATTTTATAATACACTTTATACATTATCAATGTAACCTTGTAATCCACTAAATCATAAAATTTTAGAATGTTTAATTTTAAAAATAAATCATTGGTATGATCCCTATATTGTGATTTTGTAATAATACGTAAAGCTCTCTTTTGTAAAATAAAAAGTGGTTGGGTGTATGTCTTAAACGTATTACCCCAAATCTCCAGACAATATGTTAAGTATGGAACAAATAATGATGCATATAACATAAATAATGCCTTCTTATTTAACAAGTTCCCAATCTTATTTAATATCGCAACTGTCTTTGAAATTTTAGATTTTACATAATCAATATGCTGTTTCCACCCCAATTTACAATCTAATATAACACCTAAAAATTTTATTTCATTTACTCTTTCTATTTCCTCCACCCCTATTCTTACTTTCACGTCAGTTACACTATTTTCACCCCAAATCATAAATTTTGTTTTACTCATATTCAGTGACAGCCTATTAATATCAAACCATTTCTTAACCCGTTCCATCTCCCTTTCCACATTTCTCACAATGTTTTTTAAATCTTTCCCAGAATAAAAAAAATTGGTATCATCTGCAAAAAGAATAGGTTTGAGAACACATGAAACCCTACAGAGATCATTTAAATATAAAATAAACAATTTTGGTCCCAATTTTGGTCCCATGCATGTATATATTTTAAAAAAACGTGTTATTCATATATAAAATATATATGATATAGATTATGTATTTCAACATATACAGTATTTATGTGCAAATAATTCTTAAATATATACATGCATGCATATGTACATATACATATGTATTTATATATACAAAAAAAATGTAAACACAAACTTTTATTTTGGATGCGATTAATTGCAATTAATCTTTGCACAGCCCTAATATAATCATATTTATATTATTATAATATATTATATTATTACTATACTTAGAAATATTTAAAAAATGTAGTCTGGTTCCATAAAAGTGCTGGCATGCAGTGCTGTTCACACCTGGGGCTGGTCTCTCCTTAAAAATGATTTCTAAAAATCCTTATTCAGTAATATCAAACTCCTGGAAAAGTTGGAAAAGGAAAACACATTTTGGTCAGAATGTGTGGGAACCTTAAACTAGTTTCTCTGTATCACCTCATCATTGTATCACATTACTACTCTGGTACACACTTGTAGTTGGATTCATGGCTTTCACTGTGAAATACAGTTGCCAACAACCTGGAATGTCCCTGTCATACTAATGTCTGCTATGATGATTGCCACAAATACACATGTTTCTGTGAGCTCACAAATACACATTGTCCCTTCCTGAGTTCATGATTTTGTCAACTAATCGGTCTCTTATGGACATCATGCTGTATCACTGTAATGATTATTGTCTTTCTTTAATTATGATTTCTTCACTCTAACCAACCTTGTGATGGGCTGTTGTGATTCTTCTCCCTTTCCAATCCACTTCCTGTTGCAATGCATGATGGGCAGGCTCAATATTGTGCATGACCCCTGCAGCAAGCGTGGGTAGGTTTCTAGACTTCGTCCTCTTAGTTGTTGTAACGCCCTCAAAATCCACATAGCCGACAAACGGGCATTGATAACTGGGCATCTTTGTTCACGCTTCACATATGAAGCATTTATATAACTGTGATTTGAAGTAAAAGTCAACATGAAACATCATTTGCAACACATTTTACTTCCATAATATGACATATTTCCAAGTGAAACGGAATATTCAAGAAGATATATAGCCTAGTGGCAGAAATCAGGAATTGCATGTGATTGTGAAAAGTGGCTTTTAGACATTAGATTAGGGAATTGGAGGGGGCGGCTGAAAAGTAATCTTGAAAAGTATGCAGCATGCATATTAAGAAAGTAAATAGGAAGCATTTTGATTTCATGTTGACTTTAAATATACACAAATATTTGTTCTTGTACTGAGTTGCAATTCTAGCAATTTGTGTATTGTTTTGTGGGTTTTGGTGGCTTTTTTAATAATAGATAATTCACCTAAAACAGAAATTTCTGTCGTTATTCATTCACCCTCATGGAAGACAAAAGGAGCCATTTTGAATAATCTTACCATGCATGTTCAAATGGGCGGAATGAAGAATAAAATCTGAATGATTTTTAAAGTGCCCCTATTATGCTCTTTTTCGAATATTACCTTTCATGCAGTGTGTAATGCAGTTATTTTGTGAATAGAAAGCAAAGTTTTAAACATCAAAATGCACAACAAAATATGGATTTATCAAAGTATGTTTTTCAAGTATGGAGGCGCTTGGAAAAAAAAAAACATTCAGTTGCGTTCTAGACGGTGGGACAAGTCTGTGGCAAAACTCAAGTGTTTTTCACATACCTAACCATTCACATCAAAAAGGGTCGAAAGCACTTCGAAAGAAACTTCTTTATACTATTATAACCTAACTATTATATATAGGGTATATATATATATATATATACAGTATACTGTAAAGTATTTGGACTGTAAAGTATTTGGATGACCTTGGATGTAGTGAACCTATTGTAGGAGACAAAATTAGGAACCTTTACAATAGTATAATACAGGCACTTTCAATAATAACAACAACCTTGATGACAAAAGTTTCTCTTTAGGTATCCCACTCACAAAAAACAGCGGCATATTAAGAATGAATTGGGGGTGAATATATAATGCCAGAAGACTCATTTTTGGGTGAACTATCCTTTTAACTCCTCACGTTTAATTGAACACTTTGTAGTTGATAGTATTTTTCACTGCACTTGTTTGTAGTATAATAGTATCTCAGATAATCAGTTTTGAGCATGATGTTCAAGTAACAGAAAACATGACAAGGGTTAACGTACTACAGTAGATGGAAGCTGAAACCTAAATGCAAAGTTTATGAGATGCCATGCCTTTGTTTCCTTCTTCTTGTAGCTCTTGATGTGTTGGCTCATATGACACTTTACCTGCCCTTATGTCTTCTTTAGAACAATCTCTCTTGCCACCACTTTTGGTTTGCCGTTTGCTGATATCACCTTCAATGCTCACTTTTCTTTCCATCCCCCTCTGTGTCCACTCGCTCATCATGTTTGTGCACCTGTTGGCCACACTCCCTGTATGTGTGCTTATACCATTTTCCCTCTGAAAAGTTCCCATGATGCACGGCGCTTCTCCGGCCGCTGTGTCCGCAGCAACCACATCTGCCACAAGTGTTCCCTTCGCATCTGCATCAGCCAATCAGGTTTGCTCTTTTATGGCTTTTTTTTTCTCTCAATCTCTCACACATACATATACACACTCTCTATCTTTCTCTTTCTGTCTGAGAGACAGGGGTCCTTTCAAAGTGATCTCTGCCCCTTGTTGGCCTACACAGGTTTTGGATTTGATTTTTTATGGTGCTTCAATCAACAGATTTTTTTTTTACCTGTAATTTTCTCACTGCAGACACTGGCTGAGGGAAAACCAAGAGAATGTACTAAAAAACATTTGAGCGCGAGTAAATTGAGTCTGAATTTGCCTGAGCGCTTTGAACATTGTGTTAAATGTAATCGAATAAGAATTTAATTTTCAATTAAAGCACCTTTACAGTACCATTTCATGTTATATTTGATGGTTATAAATAGCATTTTAATATTGTTTGTTTTTGTCCTTTTTTTTTATTTTGAGGACTCTTCTCTATCAAAGCTGACTACCAACGAATACATGCAATTGGTATGTATGAGGTAGTTTTTCTTAGTGCTTTGCTTCGGGTACATCTTTGCCGGCTGTGAAGGATAAATTAGTTCATTGTTTCCTGCTTCTTTTTGTTGTCAATATACGGACAAATTGTTTCCACCAGTTTAAATATGTCCTGCTCATATGATCAATACAAAGCAGCGATGCAGGCCGCCATGACTCAATAGTCTGTTCTAAATGATATGATTTACAAATATGACCATTTTGACAAGATTCTTCTTAGTTTGATAATAATAAAATTATTATAGATTATTTCAAATAGATTAAACTATTGAAATAAAAGTGAAGGTCAACAAGTTGGAAATATGGAATGTGCATGGGAAATCTTACTTCTCCCTGCCTTACGTGATAAAGATTTATACTAATAGGGAATGGTTCATCGTTTTCTTTAATGGCATTTCTTAATTTTTTGTTGTGTTTGACTTATTCTCTTCTTAACTGTCATGGGGAGGGAGTGAGGGTGAGGGAGAATATTTTAGTCTTTGAAATGTTTTTGTTTTTCTGTACAAAAAAAATGAATAACGGTCACACTGAATCGTTTAATGCATTTCTCTCTGTACATCTTCAGATTCCAATAATATCTGCAGAGCATCTGACTAGTCACAAGTACTTGACGCAGATGTAGTTCCAGTCCTCAACAGTGAGTGGTCACACATTTCTCTTCTATTTTTCATTGTTTCCAGAAACTGCTGTATTGCTACCTGACATTAAAATTAAAATGTAAATGTTTGATTTGAAGCAAAAGCTTCCCAATTTTGTCATTATTTACTCCCATTTGCCCTCATGTAATTTTTCCATAGAACATAAAAGAAAAATTCTGAAGAAGTTATTTTCCGTACAACTACAGTTCCTAGTAATCACATGACCAAATATGACATGGCACCTGTGACGCATATTTCAGCCATATGGAATACTTTTATAGTGCTTTTCTGGGGGGATATGTATGGGAAATGTAAAAAGAAAATCATTTCACAAGGCTTCAGAACACTTGGAATACAATGATCAAGTGACATGAATTACTTTTATGTTGTTTTGTAATGTGTAATGTTGCTGTTTGAGCATAAAAAAGGTCTGGAAAGTTGCAAAAGTTATTCTCTATACACAGCAAAAACTCCAGTGTTAAATTAACTCTCCTGGGAGTTTATTTGGCTCCAGACTCAAGAGTGTTAAAGTATTAAAATATGACTGTTAAATTAACACTCAAGAGTGTTAAAGTTAATGAGCTAATTAAGTGATTCATTGAATAATGATTGACCATCATTGAAGATACCTGATGTTAACAAGCAGAATCACTGAAGGAGAAAATCTCATTTTCGAAGTCACCATTATGGTGATCATTGTTTGCTTTAGTTGGCCTCTTAAACTATTAACATTAGATTTAGTTTGGCTGTTGTAACCGAGTACTTTAAATATAATCCAAAATATTTCTTAAAATTTGTTCTGATCAAAAGTGTTTTCAACATTATTTTATTTAGACACACTAACATCAATAATCAGCCTGTGAATCTCAACAATGGTGACAATAATAAAGCATGTTGAAGTGCATTATGGGCTCCACCAATCAAAACTTATTCATGGCTCCCATCATGCATTGCAGTATGAATAAATTATTATCTAAATGATCTTAGTAATTTCATTTCCTAATTAAATATTCTGTTTGTCACCATTGTTGAGATTCATACACTGATACTTGATGTCTGTAAGTGCCTGAAAGAAAGTTTTTTTTTTTTTTTTTAATCAGAACAACTTAGAAAGCATTTGAATTGTATAAAAAATTCTGGATCTTACACTGCAGAGCACACTGCGCTTTTCGCAAGGAGGGGCTTCATAGAGACAGGAACTAAATAGAGCGTTATTGGCAGACTGGGAAGAGAGGTGCTGCAATAATGTAAAACTTGAAAAAGAATGTGTTTTTTAAACATTTAAGCATGAAATCCTATTCTAGTAGACCGTAAAAACAAAACCTTAAAGGGCACAATATGGTCTCTTTAACTGTCATTGTATGGAAATAACTTTTTCAAATTTTAAATAATGTAAATAATGACATTCTCGTGTATTCTAAATCTATTTTCTACTTTTCCTCAGATCAAAGGAATGTGCTGTTGTCCTGGACAAAAAGGCAAACAAACAGAATTCAAAATTTTAACATCAAGATCACCGGCAGATAGAATATACTATGAAGATTAAGATTTGGTCATACATGATGGTAGAGTTTTACTAGAGTGAAGCTGAGTGTCCTTCCACACGATATGTAGAATTTGAGTGAAACTACATCATTATGTCAGACAGGACGGCATTTTTACTCTCAAGCCGGATTAGTAGGAAAAGTGATTTTCATGTCTGACCTAACACCGTTTTGGCATGTTAGTAGACCAAGAGATATTTTTTTGTGATTCACACCTTGATTATCTTTACTCGAAATTTGTCTGATGGTTTACAGAGTTCTAAAAGGTGCACCTTGAATTGAAAAGCGAATCAAAAGTCGATATGGCACAAAAACCTCCAGCGAAATAATTTAATGATCGTAGTTTTCTGTATCTTTAGTCCTGGAATCTAGTCAAACTAGAGATGTAAGCGAGAGTCGAGATTTGACAGATGAATGTTTTGGGTAGAAA